GGGGATATTTTGTACCGTTCTGACATTTGGGGGATATCTGTACTGTCCTGACATTTGGGGGATATCTGTACCGTCCTGACATTTGGGGGATATCTGTACCGTCCTGACATTTGGGGGATATCTGTCCTGTACCATCCTGACATTTGGGGGATATCTGTACCCGTCCTGACATTTGGGGGATATCTGTCCTGTTCTGACATTCTTGGGCCTCCAGATTGGCCATCAGTACTTAAGGATTGATCAATATTCAGATCTATCCCATAGTCTGTGGAACTCTATAACTTTCCTACAGACTAAATAATAAATACTAATTTGGGTTATTTTCACCAAAGACATGTAGTAGAATACATCTCGGCCTAAATTTATGAAGAACAATTATTTATTTGCAAACATTTATAGCAGACACAAAGAAAAAGGTGTGGTTTTTTTTCAAAACTTTTGGTCTTTTTTTGTTAATTTAACAAACAATAAAAACCCCGGCGGTGATTAAATACCACAAAAGAAAGCTCTAGTTGTGTGAATAAAATTTTAGTTTGAGTACAGTGTTGCATGACCGCGCAATTGTCATTCAAAGTGTGAGAGCGCTGAACGCTGAACATTGGCCTGGGCAGGAAGGGGGTAAAAGTGCCCGGTATGGAAGGGGTTAAACTAGTAGGCACCAGATATTTCTTTTCTTTATTAAAATATCACCTTAGTGCGACAACCAAAGTCTATAAGTTGTTTTAGTTGTTCCTCATAATTGTGAGTAGGATCCTTTATTAACGCTCTCTATGTGGTGTCATCCGATGACATCCGCTGCAATTGGAGTGTGTAAAACTCCTTGTCCATTACAACACCTCCTCCCTTGTCTGCTGGTCGCACTATGATGTCATTCCCTTTTTTCTAAGCTTTTAATCCCTTCTGAAATAAATGTCGGATTTGGGGGACAATAGTATCCAGATCCTTTAAAACGAAACTTTTAAATACTTCCAAACGTTGATTAACAGGATTCTGAGGATTAAAGGTGGACTTATTTCTAAGCCCACAATCCATCACCATTCCCTTGATTTGATCATCAGGAATATTAATTTTTGGGTTATTTAAAAAATGCTTCTTAAGATTGAATTGTCTGATATATCTGTGTATGTCTATAGATATATATATACACACCGAATGTATCTATGGGTCTCTCAGGAGCACATTTGAGACCTAAATTCAAAATATTGAACTCTTTAGAAGACAAAGTAGCTTTACTAATATTATAGATCGCTTCTTTATTTAAGCTCTCCTTCTCTTTTTGTTGTTGAATTCTTCGACCGGCCTCTGTGACCTCTCCTCCTCATATGGGACCTCCTCTGTTGGGTGGGTGAAAAGGATGGCCCCTTTGGCTGCCTCTTCCCCACCCCTGCCAAAAAAAAAGAGGGTGTAGGGCCTTATTTTTGTTGTTGAGGAATTGGGAACTAATTTTCCCTATAATTTTCCAGATTTGTTGGATTTGTTGCATCCCCTCCAATTGGGAGAAACCCAATCTATTCCCCAAAATTGGAGAGTACCTTGGGATTCCAGATTTCACAGTTCGCAGAAGTCGCCAACTGTCTGCAGAGTCAATAGCTAAAGACCTCCAAACTTGGTGTGGCCTTCAGATGAGCCCAACAACAGTGCGTAGAGAGCTTCATGGAATGGGTTTCCATGGCCGAGCAGCTGCATCCAAGCCTTCCATCACCAAGTGCAATGCAAAGTGTCGGATGCCGTGGTGTAAAGCACGCTGCCACTGGACTCTAGAGCAGGGGAGACGTGTTGTCTTGAGGGACCAATCACACTTCTCTGTCAGGCATTGCGATGGACGTGTCTGGGTTTGGTGGTTTCCAGGAGAACGGTACTTGCCTGACTGCATTGTGCCAAGTGTAAAGTTTGGTGGAGGGGGGTTATGGTGTGGGGTTGTTTTTCAGGGGGTGGGCTTGGCCCCCTAGTTCCAGTGAAGGGAACTCTTAAGGCGTCAGCATACCAAGACATTTTGGGCAATTTCATGCTCCCAACTTTGTGGGAAGAGTTTGGGGATGGCCCCTTCCTGTTCCAACATGACTAAACACCAGTGCACAAAGCAAGGTCCATAAAGACATGGAGGAGCCAGTTTGGGGTGGAGGAACTTGACTGTCCTGCACAGAGTCCTGACCTCAACCCCATAGAACACCTTTGGGATGAATTAGAGCGAAGACTTCGAGCCAGGCCTCCTCCCCTGACATCAGTGCCTGACCTGACAAATGTGCTTCTGGAAGAATGGTCCAACCTTCCCATAGACACCCTCCTAAACCTTGTGGACGGCCTTCCCAGAAGAGGTGAAGCTGTTATAGCTGCAAAGGGCGGGGCCAACTCAATATTGAACCCTACGGACTAAGACTGGGGGGCCATTAAAAGGTCATGTGTGTGGGAAGGGCGGGGCCAACTCAATATTGAACCCTATGGACTAAGACTGGGGGGCCATTAAAGGTCATGTGTGTGGAAAGGGCGGGGCCAACTCAATATTGAACCCTACGGACTAAGACTCGGGGGCCATTAAAGGTCATGTGCGTGGAAAGGCAGGAGGCCCAATATTGAACCCTATGGACTAAGACTGGGGGGCCATTAAAGGTCATGTGTGTGGAAAGGCAGGAGGCCCAATATTGAACCCTATGGACTAAGACTGGGGGGCCATTAAAGGTCATGTGTGTGGAAAGGCCAATACTTTTGGCAATATAGTGTTTGCATAAACCAAGTGTGACAACAATGCACAGACTGGCCCCATGTGCAGTAGGGAGACTCCTGCTGGCCAAGCTACCTAATAACATATTTCTACACCCTTTGTGTTACATACAACCTATCACAGTAGTGAGACACCTAGTGGCAGAACTACAATATACAGCAGGGAAAATAATGATTTGATCCCCTGCAGTTTTGTACGTTTGCCCACTTACACAGAAATGAAGGGTCTATAATTTTTAGCACAGGTCTACTTTAAATGATAGAGACAGAATATCAATCAAAAATCCAGAAAAAAACACAAATGTTATCAATGGAGTTGCTGTTCATTGAGTAAAATAAATATTTGATCTCCAAGCAAAACCTGACTTAGTACTCGGTGGAGGAACCCTTGTTGGCAAGCCCAGAGGTAAGACGTTTCTTGTAGTTGGTTCCCAGGTTTGCACACATCTCAGGAGGGATTTTGGTCCACTCTTCTTTACAGATCTTCTCTAAATCCTTAAGGTTTCTTGGTTGTCGTTTGGCAACTTGAAGTTTCAGCTCCTTCCATAAACTAAGGTCTGGAGACTGGCTAGACCACTCCAGGACCTTAATGTGCTTCTTCTTGATCCACTCCTTTGTTGCCTTGGCCGTGTGTTTTTGGTCATTGTCAGGCTGGAAGACCCATCCACGATCCATTTTCAGTGTTCTGAAAGTTCTCATCCAAGATTTTACAATACATGGCCCCATCCATTGGCCCCTCAATGTGGCAAAGTCGGCCTGTACCTTTAGCAGAGAAACAGCCCCAAAGTTGTTTCCACCTCTGTGCTTGTAGGGATGGTGTTCTTGGGGGCATGGTCAGCATTTTTCTTCCTCCCAAGCATGGCGAGTTGAGTTGATGCCAAAGAGCTGGATTTTGGTCTCCTCTGACCACAACACTTCCCACCAGTCCTCCTCTGCATCATTCAGATGTTCAGTGGCAGACTTCAGACGGGCCTGGACATGTGCTTACTTGAGGAGAGGGACCTTGCGGGCACTGCAGGATTTCAGTCCATGGCGGTGTATTGTGTTACCAATGGTTGGTTTGGTGACTGTGGTCCCAACTGCCTGGAGATCATTGGCAAGATCCTCACGTGTAGTTCTGGGCTGATCCCTCACTTTTCTCATGGTCACCCTTACCCCATGAGGTGAAATCTTTCATGGAGCTGCAGACTGAGGGTGATTGATGGTTATTTTGTATTTATTCCATTTACCAATAATCGCTCCATCAGTTGTCTCCTTCTCACCAAGCTTCATACTGATGGTCTTGTAGCCCATTCCAGCCTTGTGCTGGTCATCAGAGTTCCCCTTTAGGTAATCTTCAGAACAAGGACTATGTGCAGTGCTGACAGTCGGAGTTCCTCCGGATAATCAGTCACAGAAGGGAAATGTTGGCAGACTTTGTACCCAGACAGACTATAAAACATATCACCTCCATCTCATCTTATGATCATTAACTGGGGCACACCGACACCCATTAAAGTGGACCTGTCATTCAATCTCTTGGTCAGCAATATGTCCGTGTGACCCTTCCAGGTATGTACGATTGTCTCACAGAGATCACAGTCCCCTGATCCCCCCGGCAATGCCAGCATCCAGAAGGACGGAGCCATCATTGTTCAGGCCTCCTCCAAGGTCACCACCCTGGACTGGAATGGAGTCGCCTCAACGTGAAGCAGCCATCTGTAGATGAAGCGGATGTAGTTACAGTTCCCTGCGCTGGGAGAATTGTAATCTACGTTGCAGCTGGGAACTAGGAGTGTTCTGTACGTTCCAACCAGGAATATCCCACATTGGTGCAGATCACAGAGAAGGACATGTTTTCCAGCATCCTGGAGGAGGGCAGTTATTTGTCAGCTTCATCCCAACCCCCAGCTTTGCCCAGCCGCCACGTCATGCCGACCTCTGTGGGACGGCCTACAGACCTTCAGACTTTCCATCTTGCGGCACTACGATTGGTCATGGAAGGGGAAGCGCAGACAGACGCTGTTGGATCACAGGGACCGGACCGGAGCAAACTGGAATCATTACTGGTCCAAACAATAGAAAAAGGATCAAATATGAAAGTTCACCTAAAACATTCGTACAAGTACAATCAAAGGTAAAAAACCGATGTCCAGTCCAACTCCTCCCCTTCAATATTGCACAGGTGTGTACCAGGGCTCCCCCTCCCCTTCAGTCTTGCACAGGTGTACCGGTTCCTCCCCCTCCAGTCTTGCACAGGTGTACCGGCTCCTCCCCCTCATTATTGCACAGGTGTATTGGCTCCTCCCCTTCAGTTTTGCACAGGTGTACCGGCTCCTCCCCTTCTGTCTTGCACAGGTGTACCGGCTCCTCCCCTTCTGTCTTGCACAGGTGTACCGGCTCCTCCCCTTCAGTCTTGCACAGGTGTACCGGCTCCTCCCCTTCAGTCTTGCACAGGTTTACCGGCTCCTCCCTTCTGTCTTGCACAGGTGTACCTGCTCCTCCCCTTCAGTTTTGCACAGGTGTACCTGCTCCTCCCCTTCAGTTTTGCACAGTTGTACCGGCTCCTCCCCTTCAGTCTTGCACAGGTGTACCGGCTCCTCCCCTTCAGTCTTGCACAGGTGTACCGGCTCCTCCCCTTCAGTCTTGCACAGGTGTACCGGCTCCTCCCCTTCAGTTTTGCACAGGTGTACCGGCTCCTCCCCTTCAGTCTTGCACAGGTGTACCGGCTCCTCCCCTTCAGTCTTGCACAGGTGTACCGGCTCCTCCCCTTCAGTCTTGCACAGGTGTACCGACTCCTCCCCTTCAGTCTTGCACAGGTGTACCGACAGGTGTCCTCCCCCCCTGGACTGAAATTTCTTCCTCTCATTTCACCGCACACTGGGAGTTTTTCACACTGTGCATTAGAAGCTGCAGCCAAAGAGAGCTCGGCCCCATTTCCTGGCTGGAGAACGCCCTGCATCATATAGCTCTTTCCTCCCCAGCCTGTTCCAGGCCCCACCTTTTCATTCATTGGATTTCAGTTCTTTCAGTCATGGAGGCTCAGCATGTCATGTAAGTATTACCATGCCGATACATCCTGTCTAAGAACATCCAGTCCTCCAGATGGACACCCGCCCATCAAGGCATTTTGACATTTGCATATCTCCTCCCAAGAGCCAGCCCACTGCTTGCATCAGGGCTGAGGGCTCTTGAGAAGAATAATGAGGCAGGGTGCCTGTGAATCTATGTACAGCACTTACCGGCCCCTCCCACCAGCCACGGTCTGCCTGCATTGCGTAGAGAAGCACAGAGATCCACTGATGACATCACTGGGACTAAGATAACATCTTTAATGAGACAGAAAATATTTTTTAATATTTTTAGTAGCAGGTCTTTGAAGGGGAGGAGCAAAGGAAGGCAAATGTGAGCAGAATAAACTTCAGCATTAAGGCTCCATGCACACTAGCCTTCTTTTTAAATTAAAAAATGCTGGATAAAAAAATGCTGGCAGTAGCATTTTTATTATCATTTAGGAGCGTTAGTGTTTTTACAGTACATGTAGGAGGGAAAAAAAAAATCTAAAATAAAAAAAAATCTAAATAAAAAACCAAAAAACTATAAATTAAAAAAAAAAGAAAGAAAAAAAAGTGGTTAGGAATGTGCAGTGTTTTTTTCTGCTGGAAAAACGCTCCAAAAACAATTTTTTTCTGATCCAGACACTGAAGAGCAAAAATGGCAGACAGCCTAAAGCAGTGTGCATGGATACATAGGAGAGCACTACGAAGCTTCTAGGAGCAGGAAAAAAAATGCTCGTGTGCACAGAGCCTGAGATATATGTGCAGCCAAAACCTGTACATTTTATTTTGTTTTTTATTTTTGCAGTCTGTGTTCCTTTGTCAGATTTTCCATCCCAGAGACACAACAATGGACTTAAATGCAAAAAAAAAAAAAAAAAAAAAATTGTGTCACATCCCATTGACTTCAATGCATAAATCACGTCCCAATAACTTCAATGCAAAATCGATTCCCATTGACTTCAATGAAAAAAGCCCAATATTGACTTCTATTCAAAATCGAGTGCCACTGACTTCAGTGCAAGAACACCCCCTACTGACTTCAATGCCATAACACTGACTTCCCCCCCCCCTTTGACTTCAATTCAAAAAAGCCCGATATTGACTTCTATTCAAAATCGAGTGCCACTGACTTCAATGCAAAAACATCCCTTATTGACTTCAATGCAAAAACACCCCCTATTGACTTCAATGCAAAAACACCCCCTACTGACTTCAATGCAAAAACGCCCCCTATTGACTTCAATGCAAAAATCACATCCCATTGACTTCAATGCAAAAAAAAAAAAAAAACCCGCATTCCATCGACTTCAATGAAAGAATGCCTGTATTTAAATTTTTTCTAATTTTATATATATATTTAATTTTATTTTCTGTGTTACTTTCAATAAGTTATTTTACGTTACTGAATTGTATTTTTTAAATTCATATTCATTTAACTTCATGTTAAATGAATATGAATTGAATAGAATACAATTATGTATAAAAAAAGAAACAAAAAAAAAAAAATTATATTTTGTTTTTCGGCAAAGCGCATCCTGAATTTTCAGTATTGGTCCAGAATTTTCATTTCGGTGCACCACTAGTTCTACCCTCCCCCGCCCCATCCCAAACAAGAAATTCTCCACTGTACTGGTTCTTTCCCCCCCTTCCAGTCCGGACACTTTCCTCCCCCCCCCCCTTCCAGTCCGGACACTTCCCCCCCCCCTTCCAGTCCGGACACTCCCCCCCCCCCCCCCTTCCAGTCCGGACAGGTTCCCCCCCCCCTTCCAGTCCGGACACTTTCCTCCCCCCCCTTCCAGTCCGGACACTTTCCCCCCCCCTTCCAGTCCGGACACTTCCCCCCCCCCTTCAGTCCGGACACCCCCCCCTTCCAGTCCGGACACTTTCCCCCCCCCCCTTCCAGTCTAGGCCAATTTTCAGCTTTCAGCGCTATCACACTATGAATGACAATTGCGCGGTCATGCAACATAGTACCCATATGAATTTTTTTAGCATTTTTTTGAGACAGATAAAGCTTTATTTTGGTGGTGTTTATTAATTACTGGGATTTTTATTTTTTTTTTTGCTATGTAAATGAAAAAGTCCAAAAATTTTGAAAAAAAGTGTTTTTCTTATAACATTTTGCAAATAAATAATATTTCATCATAAATCTCGGCCAAAATGTATTCTGTTATCTTTTTTATAAAAAAAAAAAAAAAAAAAAAACCCCAAATTAGTTTAGCAGTACAGTGTCACCATGGTGACACTGTACTACTTGTGGGGGGTGATGAAGATTTTTTTTTTTTTTTTTTTTTACACTGATTGCTTTTACACCCATAAAGGCTGTAAAAGCAATCATTTCTCTTTCTCTCTGTCTGCATTCTTGCAGCCATTGAGAACTACTGTGTGAGCTGTGATTGGTCACAGCTTGTCACATGGTACAAGGCTGTTGTGACTAGCCCTGTACCATGTGATCTCTGTGATCATTCACAGATTTCACACGTAGTAAGCAATGATGTCACAAGTGACATCTTGTTTACTACTATTCATGTGATCACTGATTGGCCAATCAGTGATCACATGATCGGGACCTCGCACAGAGGTCCCGTACAGCAATCGGTGTTCCACTGTGTATGGAGGACACAGCGGACACCGGATCGCGGTGCTGCGTGCTCCCAGGGAGCGTACACAAGCAGGGGGCGGGGAGGCCGTTTAGAAGCAGCCACCCGCCCCTGCCCTGCCATCGTCCGGCCGTTTATATACAACGGCCAGACGTGAGGCGGTTAAATATGCCTCTATTAATGGCCCCGTCAGGCAATTGGGAAAAATGACTGATGATTGTCCCACGAATACAGAATAGGACGCACCCAGTGGGTAAAAAAAAAAAAAAAAAAACACTGAAAATACGACACATCCTTTTATAGAAATAAACAATCGATTTTATTGGGGCATTTTATCACATGGTACCAACCAAAAATCGCACACGTACCTGGCTTCCGCAATGCCCAGACCGCAAAATAAAACGGTAAAATAGGCAATAAAATGGTACAAATTACCATCACAGTGATTGATAACATTTAGTTAGCACTGTCAGAGAATGTTACCAAAAGTATATTAGATGTATCAAAATGGGGGATTCTGATCCTCTCCTGGCCAAAGAGGTGCCAATATGCTTTCAGGAAGCTTCATCCAGCACCCCGTTGGCCCCTCCGACCAGCCACGATCTATGCATTGCATGGAAACGCACAGAGACCCAGTAGTGATGACGTCACCACCCCCTCTTGCTGACATCATCACATAGAATGCAGTACCAGCAGCCACCATAAGGAGTGCCGTAGCACATCCAAACACTAGAGAGGAGAGGACTGTTGGCTGCTACAGATAAGTAAATCTTTTTTTTTTTTTAAACATAATTGCCTATTAAAACAAATCTATTGGGGGTGGAAAACAAATTTTTTTTTTTATATTTATACCCAGAGTTGCACTTTAAGAATGCATTAATCCCATAAATGGTTCTTTATGACCGATTCTCCTTAAAGTGACACTAAACTATGTTCTCCAAAAAGAAGCCACTACTTAATGGCCCGGTCATCTATTTATCATGAAATAAAAATTTTCCTTTCTGTGTTTTTCTGCCTCTGTGTAATGTCCTCCATGAGCTCCCAAACCTCTCCTTTTCTCTCCTCACTTCCCTTTGTTTGGAAGGAGCAGCACACATTAGTTGCAGTCATGAACACTGCTCAATGCATACTACACATCCCATAATCCCTAGTCCATTTTAGGAGTGAGCAAGGCAGGGTGTCCCTACATACTATGGGTCCAAGGCAGGGTGTCCCTACATACTGTGGGTCCAAGGCAGGGTGTCCCTACATACTGTGGGTCCAAGGCAGGGTGTCCCTACATACTGTGGGTCCAAGGCAGGGTGTCCCTACATACTGTGGGTCCAAGGCAGGGTGTCCCTACATACTGTGGGTCCAAGGCAGGGTGTCCCTACATACTGTGGGTCCAAGGCAGGGTGTCCCTACATACTGTGGGTCCAAGGCAGGGTGTCCCTACATACTGTGGGTCCAAGGCAGGGTGTCCCTACATACTGTGGGTCCAAGGCAGGGTGTCCCTACATACTGTGAGTCCAAGGCAGGGTGTCCCTACATACTGTGGGTCCAAGGCAGGGTGTCCCTACATACTGTGGGTCCAAGGCAGGGTGTCCCTACATACTGTGGGTCCAAGGCAGGGTGTCCCTACATACTGTGGGTCCAAGGCAGGGTGTCCCTACATACTGTGAGTCCAAGGCAGGGTGTCACTACATACTGTGGGTCTAAGGCAGGGTGTCCCTACATACTGTGGGTCCAAGGTAGGGTGGTCATGCACCTAAATACAGTGGGACCAATGCAGGATGCCTACATTTCCACATACAGTGGGACCAAGACAGGGCAGACATGCTCCTTCACAAAGTGGGACCAAGGAAGGGTGGCCATGCGCCTACATACAGTGGGTCCAAGGAAAGGTAGCCAAGTTCCTACATACAATGGGTCCAATGCAGGATGCCTACGTTCCTACATACAGTGGGACCAAGGTAGGGAGGTCATGTGCCTCAGGATAGCCAGATTCCTATGTACAGTGGGACCAATACAAGGTGGCCATGTTCCTACACGAAAAAGGGACCAAGGCAGGGTGGCTACGTTCCTACACACAGTAGGACCAAGGAAGGGTGGCCAGTTGCCTAAAAACAGTGGGTCCAAGGCAAGGTAGCCAAGTTCCTACGTACAATGGGACAAAGACAGGGTGGCTATGTTCCTACATACAGTGGACCCAAGGCAGGGTGGCTACATACCTACACAATGCAGGTCCAATGCAGGTTCCTACATACAGTGGGACCAAGGTAGAGAGGTCATGTGCCTCAGGATAGCCAGGTTCCTACGTACAGTGGGACCAATACAAGGTGGCCATGTTCCTACACGAAAAGGGACCGAGGCACGGTGGCTACATTCCTACACAGTAGGACCAAGCAAGGGTGGCCATGTGCCTAAAGAAAAAGTGGGTCCAAGGCAAGGCAGCCAAGTTCCTACACACAGTGGGACAAAGACAGGGTGGCCATGTGCCTAAAGAAAAAGTGGGTCCAAGGCAAGGTAGCCAAGTTCCTACACACAGTGGGACAAAGACAGGGTGGCTATGTCCCTACATACAGTGGGACCAAGGCAGGGTGGCTACATCCCTACACATAGCAGGTCCAATGAAGGATGTCTATGTTCCTACATACAGTGGGACCAAGGTAGGGAGGTCATGTGCCTCAGGATAGCCAGATTCCTATGTACAGTGGGACCAATACAAGGTGGCCATGTTCCTACACGAAAAAGGGACCAAGGCAGGGTGGCTACGTTCCTACACACAGTAGGACCAAGGAAGGGTGGCCAGTTGCCTAAAAACAGTGGGTCCAAGGCAAGGTAGCCAAGTTCCTACGTACAATGGGACAAAGACAGGGTGGCTATGTTCCTACATACAGTGGACCCAAGGCAGGGTGGCTACATACCTACACAATGCAGGTCCAATGAAGGATGTCTATGTTCCTACATACAGTAGGACCAAGGTAGAGAGGTCATGTGCCTCAGGATAGCCAGGTTCCTACGTACAGTGGGACCAATACAAGGTGGCCATGTTCCTACACGAAAAGGGACCGAGGCAGGGTGGCTACATTCCTACACAGTAGGACCAAGCAAGGGTGGCCATGTGCCTAAAGAAAAAGTGGGTCCAAGGCAAGGCAGCCAAGTTCCTACACACAGTGGGACAAAGACAGGGTGGCCATGTGCCTAAAGAAAAAGTGGGTCCAAGGCAAGGTAGCCAAGTTCCTACACACAGTGGGACAAAGACAGGGTGGCTATGTCCCTGCATACAGTGGGACCAAGGCAGGGTGGCTACATCCCTACACATAGCAGGTCCAATGAAGGATGTCTATGTTCCTACATACAGTGGGACCAAGGTAGAGAGGTCATGTGCCTCAGGATAGCCAGATTCCTACGTACAGTGGGACCAATACAAGGTGGCCATGTTCCTACACGAAAAAGGGACAAGGGCAGGGTGCCTACGTTCCTACACACAGTGGGACCAAGGAAGGGTGGCCATGTGCCTAAAGAAAAAGTGAGTCCAAGGCAAGGTAGCCAAGTTCCTACATAAAGTGGGACAAAGATAAGGTGGCTATGTCCCTACATACAGTGGGCCCAAGGCAGGGTGGCTACATCCCTATGCACAGCAGGTCCAATGCAAGACGCCTACATTCCTACATACAGTGGGCCCAAGGTAGGGTGGCTACATCGCTACACACTGCAGCTCCAATGAAGGATGTTTACGTTCCTACATACAGTGGGACCAAGGTAGGGAGGCCATGTGCCTCAGGATAGCCAGATTCCTACGTACAGTGGGACCAATGCAAGGTGGCCATGTTCCTACACACAAAAAGGGACCAAGGAAGGGTGGTCATGTGCCTTAAAAAAAAAAAAAATAAAAAAAATGGGTCCAAGGCAAGGTAGCCAAGTTCCTACATACAGTGGAACAAAGACAGGGTGGCTACATCCCTACACACAGCAGGTCCAATGAAGGATGTCTACGTTCCTACATACAGTGGGACCAAGGCAGGGTGGCTACATCCCTACACACTGCAGGTCCAATGAAGGATGTCTAACGTTCCTACATACAGTGGGACCGAGGTAGGGAGGTCATGTGCCTCAGGATAACCAGGTTCCTATGTACAGTGGGACCAATACAAGGTGGCCATGTTCCTACACGAAAAGGGACCGAGGCAAGGTGGCTACACTCCTACACAGTAGGACCAAGGAAGGGTGGTCATGTGCCTAAAAAAAAGAAAAAAAAGTGTATCCAAGGCAAGGTAGTCAAGTTCCTACATAAAGTGGAGCAAAGACAGGGTGGCTACATCCCTACATACAGTGGGCCCAAGGCAGGGTGGCTACATCCCTATGCACACAGCAGGTCCATTGCAAGATGCCTACATTCCTACATACAGTGGGCCCAAGGCAGGGTGGCTGCATCCCTACATACAGTGGGCCCAAAGCAGGGTGGCTACATCCCTATGCACAGCAGGTCCAATGAAGGATTTCTACGTTCCTACATACAGTGGGCCCAAGGCAGGGTGGCTACATCCCTACACACAGCAGGTCCAATGAAGGATATCTACGTTCCTACATACAGTGGGCCCAAGGCAGGGTGGCTACATCCCTACACACAGCAGGTCCAATGAAGGATATCTACGTTCCTACATACAGTGGGCCCAAGGCAGGGTGGCTACATCCCTACACACAGCAGGTCCAATGAAGGATATCTACGTTCCTACATACAGTGGGCCCAAGGCAGGGTGGCTACATCCCTACACACAGCAGGTCCAATCAAGCATGCCTACGTTCCTACATACAGTGGGACCAAGGTAGGGTGGCCATGTGCCTAAACACAGTGGTTCCAAGACAGGACAGCCAAGTTCCTACGTACAGTGGAACAAATACAGGGTGACTATGTTCCTACACACAAAAAGGGACCAAGACAGGGTGGCTACATCCCTATGCACAGCAGGTCCAATGAAGGATTTCTACGTTCCTACATACAGTGGGACCAAGGTAGGGTGGCTAGATTCCTACATACAGTGGGCCAAAGGCAGGGTGGCTGCATCCCTACATACAGTGGGCCCAAGGCAGGGTGTCTACATCCCTATGCACAGCAGGTCCAATGCAGGATGCCTACGTTCCTACCTACAGTGGGACCAAGGCAGGGTGGCCATGCGCCTAAATACAATGGGTCCAAGACAGGACAGCCAAGTTCCTACGTACAGTGGGACAAATACAGTGTGACTATGTTCCTACACACGAAAAGGGACCAAGACAGGGTGGCTACATCCCTACATACAGGGGGACTGTGAAGAACAAGCGTAGTAACTCACTAGCCAGAAGGCGGATTACAGCAACAAAAGTAAAGGAAGTTGGAGCTTTGGAGGGGTCCGAGAGAAACAGAAGGGACTTTTTAGAGTTCGAAACAATTTCTTTAACTGAATACTTTTTTTTTTTTTCTAAAGGTTTAGTGTCACTGTAAGGCTGTCTATATACTAATAACAGTAGAACCCAAGGATCTCCCCAGCGTCCAAGGCACGATGGTGTGAAGTTGAGCTCCCCAACATGGGAGCAGCCATATTTCTGGCCCACTCTAATGGCGGTTTACACCGTTCCAACCTCATGGACGCCCAGTCCCCGGATGACAGGCGCACTGCATAGACATTAATATAAGGCCCATTTGTTAGGATTGATAAAGACGCAGTCCAATAACGAAATACTAGAGACTACACAAGTCACACAGAAAAGTACAAAACGGCGTGCGACGCCTGTGCAGTGAAATGTTATTGGCGCTTTTCTACATTCTAGACACAAAAAACACACTTCGGTGTTCCGTCCGCAAATGGAACTGTTCAAATGATGGTGCGTGCCCAGCGGCTCATCTGTCCAATCGTATACAGTCCTTCTACGCAGTCCATTACAGTAAACCGATAGATCGGCAATCTTTGGGCAAACAGCGGCAGACTGTTGGCCAATGTAGAGTCAAGATGGCCGATACGCCGCGTCGCGTCACATGATCGGTTAGATAACCTTCAGGTTGTAGAGAAGGTCCAGCAGGCGCGGGGCCTGAAAATGTGCCCTTTAAAGGGCAGCCAATGTGCTCCGCATTATTAGTCCACAACGCAGGCCCACACGGGGGGGGGGGGGGGGGGTCGGCGAGGAGAGAGTCCACATTTCTGTCCATGGAAGACGGCAGCCATCGTTGTAAACGGCCGTTCAACCTAAAAGTACTTTCTGCATCCTGCGTGCCGCCACCATGGCCTCATCCTCTGAGTCCGATTCGCTTTGGGAGGAGACAGAGCTGCAGGGGGAGGAGCATTCCGGGGAGCAGAGATAATGCATGAGGGGGAGGCGGTACTTCCCGCAGAAATCCACAAACTTGATCTGACGCACGCATGAGTCAAAGTACACACCTGCCGAGGGGAGAAGAGGATTTATTAGCTGATTCAATGCAGATAGAACAGAACATCTAATCTGGTAATAAATGCATTAAACAAAAAAAAAAAAAAAAAAAAAAAAAAAAACTTAATTAGCTTTATTTAGCACAGACAAGCACAAGTAGCTGAAGCGAAAGAAGGAGAGTGAAAGAAAGAAAAAGAAAAAGGAGGAGAGCGAAAGAAAGAAAAAGAAAAGAGGAGGAGGAGGAGGAGAAAGAAAGAGCGAAAGAAAGAAAAAGAAAAAAGAAGGAGGAGGAGGAGAAAGAAAGAGCGAAAGAAAGAAAAAAGAAAAAAGGAGGAAGAGAAAGAAAGAGCCAAAGAAAGAAAAGGAGGAGGAGGAGGAGGAGAAAAAGAGCAAAAGAAAGAAAAAGAAAAAAAAGGAGGAGGAGAAAGAAAGAGCGAAAGAAAGAAAAAGAAAAAAAAGGAGGAGGAGAAAGAAAGAGCGAAAGAAAGAAAAAGAAAAAAAAGGAGGAGGAGAAAGAAAGAGCGAAAGAAAGAAAAAGAAAAAAGGAGGAGGAGAAAGAAAGAGCGAAAGAAAGAAAAAAGAAAAAAAAGGAGGAGGAGAAAGAAAGAGCGAAAGAAAGAAAAAAGAAAAAAGGAGGAGGAGAAAGAAAGAGCGAAAGAAAGAAAAAAGAAAAAAGGAGGAGGAGAAAGAAAGAGCGAAAGAAAGAAAAAAGAAAAAAGGAGGAAGAGAAAGAAAGAGCGAAAGAAAGAAAAAGAAAAAAAGGAGGAGGAGAAAGACAGAGCGAAAGAAAGAAAAAGAAAAAGGAGGAGGAGAAAGAAAGAGCGAAAGAAAGAAAAAGAAAAAAGGAGGAGGAGAAAGAAAGAGCGAAAGAAAGAAAAAAGAAAAAAGGAGGAAGAGAAAGAAAGAGCGAAAGAAAGAAAGAAAAAGAAAAAAAGGAGGAGGAGAAAGACAGAGCGAAAGAAAGAAAAAGAAAAAGGCGGAGGAGGAGAGCGAAAGAAAGAAAAAGAAAAAAGGGAGGAGGAGAAAGAAAGAGAGCGAAAGAAAGAAAAAAGGAGGAGAGCAAGAGAAAGAAGAGAAAGGAGAGAAAGCGGAGAAAGAAAGAAAAAAAGAAAGAAAAGGAAAGGAAAAGAAAAGAAGCTGACAGTAGAGTAAAAAAAAAAAAAAGAAAGAAAGAAAGAAAAGGAATGAGAAAGAAGGAGGAGAGAGACGTGCCTTGAGGCTGGAACATGCACTGAAGTGTGGTGTGATTGAGCCTAGTCATTGGAGAAGCTCCTCACCTCCACACTTGGGGTTGGGACATTTGCTGGCCAGGTCCAGGTATCTCACGAGGTTCTCTGGAAGCTCCCACGGTGTGTACGGGAGACTCCGACTCTTGATAGTGCGTGCGGCCAGCTCCAGGAGCGTGGGCGGGGTGTACATCAGATCCCGCACAAACCTCACTACCAGCGGATTCCCGCGGAGGCTGAGCTCCTGCAGGTGGACCAGACTGAGGATTTCCCGCGGGAGGTATGTCAGGAGGTTGTTGTGAAGGCTGAGCGACCGCAGAGAATGGACCCTGGAAGAGTAAGGCAGGACAGGTCAATACATCACAATAAAAACCTGACAGGGGTTCTAATCCCTCCTCATTCAATTCATTGGGCTTTACATAGACTTTCATTTGAGGGGAATCTATAGAACAGACTTTACAGATCAGATCAATATACAGAATGGTGGGGAAATAAAGGACGCACTCAGAACCACTTGCAGCCCATTAACCATTGGATTGCACTGTACTCACTGTGCCAGCTGTGGCGGGACGCTATGGATGCGATTATCACACAGGACCAGGCAGCTCAGATAGGGCAGGTTGGCGAGCTCCGGTGGAATGTGGGAGATGAAATTTCCACCCAGATACAGGAACTCCAGACTGGAAGACAAAGAATCAGATCAGCATCTTCATCATTCAGAAAGATATTCTGAGGTTGTTACATTGTTACAATGCTTGACTCAACACTGGAGCACCTATCCTATCCAAAGAAACCAGACGTTAGAAGTACAATGTCCCGCCATCACAGCCCCCCGTTATACCCAGACGTTACAGGTACGACACGTCCCGCCATCACAGCCCCCCGTTATACCCAGACGTTACAGGTACGACACGTCACGCCATCACAGCCCCCCGTTATACCCAGACGTTACAATTACGACACGTCCCGCCATCACAGCCCCCCGTTATACCCAGATGTTACGGTACGATATGTCCCGCCACCACAGCCCCCCATTATACCCAGACGTTACAGGTACGACACGTCCCGCCACCACAGCCCCCCATTATACCCAGACGTTACAGGTACGACACGTCCCCCGCCATCACAGCCCCCCATTACCAGACGTTACAGGTACCCAGTCCCGTTACAGGTACGACACGTCCCGCCATCACAGCCCCCCATTATACCCAGACGTTACAAGTACGACATGTCCCGCCATCACAGCCCCCCCATTATACCCAGACGTTACAGGTACAATATGTCCCGCCATCACAGCCCCCCATTATACCCAGACGTTACACCCAGTACGACACATCCCGCCAATATGTCCCGCCATCAGCCCCCCCGTTATACCCAGACGTTACAGGTACGACAATATGTCCCGCCATCACAGCCCCCCACGTTATACCCAGACGTTACAGGTACGACACGTCCCGCCATCACAGCCCCCCGTTATACCCAGACGTTACAGGTACGACACGTCCCGCCATCACAGCCCCCCGTTATACCCAGACGTTACAGGTACGACACGTCCCGCCATCACAGCCCCCCCCGTTATACCCAGACGTTACAGGTACGACACGTCCCGCCACCACAGCCCCCCCCGTTATACCCAGACGTTCACAGGTACGACACGTCCCGCCACCACACAGCCCCCCCGTTATACCCAGACGTCACAGGTACGACACGTCCCGCCACCACAGCCCCCCCGTTATACCCAGACGTTACAGGTACGACACGTCCCGCCACCACAGCCCCCCCGTTATACCCAGACGTTACAGGTACGACACGTCCCGCCACCACAGCCCCCCCGTTATACCCAGACGTTACAGGTACGACACGTCCCGCCACCACAGCCCCCCCGTTATACCCAGACGTTACAGGTACGACACGTCCCGCCACCACAGCCCCCCCGTTATACCCAGACGTTACAGGTACGACACGTCCCGCCACCACAGCCCCCCGTTATACCCAGACGTTACAGGTACGACACGTCCCGCCATCACAGCCCCCCGTTATACCCAGACGTTACAGGTACGACACGTCCCGCCATACCCACAGCCCCCCCGTTATACCCAGACGTTACAGGTACGACACGTCCCGCCACCACAGCCCCCCCGTTATACCCAGACGTTACAGGTACGACACGTCCCGCCACCACAGCCCCCCCGTTATACCCAGACGTTACAGGTACGACACGTCCCGCCACCACAGCCCCCCGAGTTTATACCCAGACGTTACAATAGGTACGACACGTCCCGCCACCACAGCCCCCCCGTTATACCCAGACGTTACAGGTACGACACGTCCCGCCACCACAGCCCCCCCGTTATACCCAGACGTCACAGGTACGACACGTCCCGCCACCACAGCCCCCCGTTATACCCAGACGTCACAGGTACGACACGTCCCGCCACCACAGCCCCCCGTTTATACCAGACGTCACAGGTACGACACGTCCCGCCACCACAGCCCCCCCGTTATACCCAGACGTCACAGGTACGACACGTCCCGCCACACCACAGCCCCCCCGTTATACCCAGACGTTACAGGTACGACACGTCCCGCCACCACAGCCCCCCGTTATACCCAGACGTTACAGGTACGACACGTCCCGCCACCACAGCCCCCCGTTATACCCAGACGTTACAGGTACGACACGTCCCGCCATCACAGCCCCCCCGTTATACCCAGACGTTACAGGTACGACACGTCCCCGCCATCACAGCCCCCCCCCCCAGGTTATACCCAGACGTTACAGGTACGACACGTCCCGCCATCACAGCCCCCCCAGTTATACCCAGACGTTACAGGTACGACACGTCCCGCCATCACAGCCCCCCGTTATACCCAGACGTTACAGGTACGACACGTCCCGCCATCACAGCCCCCGTTATACCCAGACGTTACAGGTACGACACGTCCCGCCATCACAGACGTTTACAGGTACGACACGTCCCGCCATCACAGTCCCCCAGTTATAATACCCAACGTTTACAATGGTACGAACAACGTCCCCGCCAAGACAGCCCCCCGTTATACCCTAGAGACGTTACAGTACGACACGTCCCGCCATCACAGCCCCCAGTTATACCCAGACGTTACAGGTACGACACGTCCCGCCATCACATCCCCCATTATACCCAGAACGTTACAGGTAAACCAAATATTCCCGCCATCACAGCCCCCCCCCCCCCCCCCGTTATACCCAGACGTTACAGGTACGACACGTCCCGCATCATCCACAGCCCCCCAGTTATACCCAGCACAGCCCAGACGTTTACAGGTACAACACGTCCCGCCATCACAGCCCCCAGTTTATACCCAGAACGTTTCAGGTATGACACGTCCCGCCATCACTGCCCCAGCCCCCCAGTTATAGACCCAGAAGTTAGATACAATATTCCCGCCATCACAGCCCCCCCCGTTATAAACCCAGACGTTACATGTACTCTCCCTACGGTGAGATGCTACAAAATGGCTTTGCATAACTTATTGGGTGTCGGGGGAAATGAATTTGCACACAGATGCCAGACTGGGCAGAATAAATTGAGATATATTACTTTGGGAAGCTTTCTTTAAAATGATTAAGAGGGGTTGAGTGAAAGTTATCACCTTCAGTCAGATTATTGATTCACGGGATATTTTAGAGGCTTGTGAAGAAGATGTAACCGGATCAATTTTATATGAGCCATTATGAAGCAATCAATACCTCAAATCAATCACAATCCAACCCTGATAGTTGACTATATGTTCACTACAGTACAGAACCAATCCAAGTGGGGGGATATGTAGGCCATATATAATGTGTGTAATTATAGATAGAAACAGAACATATACATACAGTGTGGGGATGGAAAGTTTGGGCACTCCCAGCAACAAAAATTTGTATTAAATGTGCATAAAGAAGCCACGGAAAGATGGAAAAATCTCCCAAAAAGGCATCAAATTCACAGATTAGACATTCTTATAATATGTCAACAAAAGTTCAAGATTTTATTTCCATCAATATTACACTTTCAAAATAACAGAAAACAAAAAAAAATGGCGTCTGCAAAAGTTTTGGGCCCCCTGCAGAATTTATAGCATGTGCACTTGCCCCCCCTTTGCAAGCTGAGACCTGCCAGTCATGGATTGTTCTCAATCATCGTCTGGGAAGACCAGGTGATGTCAATCTCAAAGGTTTTAAAATGCCAGACTCATCTGACCTTTGCCCCAACAATCAGCACCAAGGGTTCTTCTAAGCAGTTGTCTAGAAAACTGAAACTGAAATTAGTTTTGACGCGCTCACAAAGCTGGAGAAGCTTATAAGAATGATAGCAAAGCGTTTTCAGATGTCAATATCCTCTGTTCGAATGTAATTAAGAAATGGCAGTCATCAGGAACAGTGGAAGTTTAAAGCAAGATCTGGAAGACCAAGAAAAAATATCAGACAGAACAGCTCGCAGGATTTGTGTGAGAAAAACAATTCAAAACCCACGTTTGACTGCACGATCCCTCCAGAAAGATCTGGCAGACACTGGGAGTTTGGGTACACTTATTCCACTATAAGAGATACTTGTACAAATATGGTCTTCATGGAAGAGTCATCAGAAGAAAACCTCTTCTACGTCCCTCACCACAAAAATCATCGTTTGAACTTTGCAAATGAAACATATAGACAAGCCTGAATGCATTTTGAAACAAATTCTGTGGACCGATGAGGTTAAAATGAACTTTTTGGCCGGAATGAGCAACGGTACGAATTGGAGAAGAAGGGGCACAGAATTTGAATGAAAAGAACCTCTGTCCAACTGTGAAGCATCGGGGTTGGATCAATCAAGCTTTGGGTTTGTGTTGCAGCCAGTGGAACAGGGGACATCTCACGAGTAAAAAGGAAAAAATTTGGGTTCAATAAAATTTCAAG